AGCTGGACTAGGTCAAGGTAGCCGTTTTCTTGTGTTCTCCTTACTTCCACGTCCGTCTACAGGTTTCGTTCATTCGTTCATTCGGCGAATATCGGACCATGTCGGTGAACGTGCACTCACACACACACTCACACATATACGCCCATGGTTGTGCATATACGTCCGTCTCTACATAGGTACGGATATAACCCACGTGCCGCGTCATCAACCACCGCGAACCTACATCGTCATCAAAAGTGGAAGATGCTGGCGTCGCCGAATCTTCCCTTTCTCCACCTTCTGCATGCGGTGAGAGTAAACGTGACGTCATCAGCTTAAAGCTACCAGACGACATAAATGTTACCGATTGATCCAGTCCTATACGCCAGTCGCTGTTGAGGTCGGTTTTTAATCGCATCAATAAGTCCAAATTTTCAACGTCGCGAACACAGGACGAACAAATAAGCTGTGCAACGCGCTAGTTTTGCTAATCGGGAGCGATTCACGCAGAACTTTCGCTATTTCCACTTCAGCTCGAGCTGCCGTTTGTTATTGCAAATGCGTAATCGCGCCAAAAAGAGGATAGGACGATTCTGCGCGAAAGAGACGAAGACACGAAGGGAGTAGGTCGTAGTGTCTACGTCACCGACACAGAAGGGAGGAAAGAGGAAAAGGAGCAGGGCTTGAAAGAAGAGGGGTCGTTGCAGGAGATAGAGATAGGCCACGGTGCTGGCGTGACTTGACAATAAAGCTCGTCTCATCTCTGGCTCGTTCCCGGGTCCCCAGCTTCGCTCCCTTCGTCACCCTGTCCGCTCCGGCCGGCACACCGACGCGTCTACACGGCTCACCACGCCACTGACTATCTTGCCTATCGCTCATGAGCTGGCCGGTTGCTCGACGTTCTGTAACACGCTCGTAAGAGTTATAAAATGCGAAACACGAGCCTGTCAAACGATCCTGCAGCACCGCCGTATCCTTATCTGTCCAACAAGAGAAAACGAAAAGTTGCCGGATGATGTTACCGTAAATGAGCACAATTGACACGTTCTGGCCGCGTAACGTCGCTAACTCGCCTTACATATAGTGCACACGGAAAGAATTTTACAATAAAAATTGCCACAGAATTGTGCAGTTGAGTAATAAATCGACAGCAATTCTGCAATAATTGATTCTATTATTTCATTTCATATCTCCTCATGATAATATAACATTTTTTATTCAAAGTGACTCATCACTCCCAAAATATTGTCGAGGTCTGTTTGCGCTTACAATGGGAAGAGAGAGATAGAGAAAGAGGAAGAGATAGATAGATAGATAGATAGATAGATAGATAGATAGAGAGAGAGAGAGAGAGAGAGAGAGAGAGAGAGAGAGAGAGAGACATCATTTATATATTATATCGTTGCGAGCGTGTATTGCCTGGAAACGCAACCATATATTCGATATGAAATGCGGGAGGGAAGCATAATATCATGTAATTATCGTCGCGATATCCCAGGAAAGACTATTTTAACGAGTCACGAAAGTCCACGAACTGTCGGTTGAAACGAGCGATCAGTCAATCTGTCAATTTAACATGCGACGTCTGTTCGAGGGATCGTCGAGGGTGGTAGACGAGGCATTGTCAAACGACCCCTGTGGACAAGTCTGTTAAATTTTCATTAGAACCTCATCCACCTTCGTGCCTGACAAGCTCGTTCAACTTTTACACGGCATGAGATTTGTAGTTTGTTCTTCATCCTCACCACGCGTTCCGCTTGGCTCGCCGCACACTAGAAAACTGTAATTTCGATGGTTCTGTTCCGTCGCACATGATCTAAACTCTGCGCACAAGAATACGCTACACCAGAACTGTCGTTCTCACGGAGGGAGAGAATTCGCTACGAAAGGCAAATTGCTGTCTTACGTTAGAAGAAAACCATATTAAGCAAACTTTCAAGTTAACAATATCCTAAGTGTGTAAATAATTGTAAATAAAATTGTGTGTAAATAAAATTTTTGCGTAAATTGTAATTTGTCTTTAAACGTACGAAACTCTTAATCTAGACATTATTTTATCCCGTGTACTTTAGAAATTATCTCTTTTCTGATTTTTTTATTTCATCCCGTAGTAAAGCATTAAATTTCATATTTAACATTTGCTTCGATTACGGTTTTGGAGACATTAGCAAACATGTGAAAAGTCGTAATTTTTTAAGGGATGAGTTACTCTTCTTGAGGGGATGGATCTCCCCAGAGCCCATTTTCCACAGCCGAAGCAAAAGTCAGCCGTATTATTAGACCGTAGTCGTATGTACTTTATTTCTGCAAAGTTTCAGATTTTTCGGAATTCAACAATCGCCGAACCTTCTTCATCAATACATCAGTGATCCAGCGGAGGAAAGGCGCGATGCCCAGAATAGCCTTGTGTACTTGTAGAGAGCGGTTTTGGCAACCCGGACTCTCGCTCTCTCCCGGTGCTGCGGGTTCCGGCGAAAGAGGTGAACGTATTGTTTACCGACGTTCCATCCCGATGGTTTCATCGCCGAGCGCCGATGTCAGCAGAAATGGCGTTGCAAATAAAGCGAGGGAAGCGGGAACGACCGAGGTCCCGCCGCCGATTCGTTCATCAAAACGCACGCTGCATGTACGTGTTTCCAAGTGGTGAAACCAGCGAAGCGTTCGCTGTCGAGAGATTTATTCGTCTCAATGATAGCACATTCGATTAGACTTTATCGCTAATTTGCGCTGCACGTTCCGCATAGGAGAGATCCGCCCTTGAACTCTCTTAGTTCCCGCTGTGCAATGACTTTTGACATTGAAAGTGCAGACTTGAGTTCGCCAGAGTTCCGTGAAGTGCATATTTTTACGAGTAACCTCCGACATGTGGGATATTCTAAATCAATCGTGTCTTTCTCATTTGCGTTCTCTCGATTGTTGATAAAACAGTTTTTGCGCTTCACAAAAATGTCCCAGTGCAATAGCTTATCTGGTGATTATCTACAAAAGATTGCAACCCTCACGAATTACTTTGAATCGTTTTCAACGGGACTGATTGAATTGACTTTCTTGGAGGAGATGTGGGGAGAAGGTTGTTCAAAAAGAAACATCATAATGGTATATCCGAAACTGTCAGCTCTGACATTTATTTTTAAGAAGAAGTATAATAAGTACTTTATGTACATATGTGTGAAGTGCAACGAGAATTAAAACATTTCTAACTCTTAAGTCGAATTGGGGGTAGACCACAGACTTCTGTATACGGCATTAGGTTCCTAACGGCCTGAAACCTGCAATGCAACGTCATTTGTCAAGCGGACACAGATCGAACACATGTACAAGATATCGCGTGCAAAAGTATCAGATACTCTTCTCTTCAGAATGCCCGTCTTCGCAACCAAATAAGTAACAATTTGCAAGAATGAATCCCTACATTTATGATTAATGCCACGTTAATGTTCACATGGTACTGTCCCGTGCTTGTAATCACATACAGCGATGTGGCCGAATTCTGAAACACCTTGTACATGATATTTTCACCTGCCTGATAAATGGCCGCCATTTTCTCCCTCGCGTCATATTTTATCCCGCGAATCTTATACGCGTTAGCGGTCCAGTATAGTATATAGAAGTCCGTGAGGTAGAGGGGGGATCGACCACGGTAAACTGCCCGGTACAATGCAATACGACAAAACAATAACATATCATCATATGTCACTTGATATCGGTAGCGTGCTCTTCACGTCCACAATGTTATGGCGCGTATTTGCAAACATCGTATCGCGTAATCTTTTCGAATCCGTTCTGTGTTTATCAAGCGTCCGTGTGATAGCACGGTGTAACGTTCACAGATGCATTATAATGCTGGGAGTATTAATACTACCGTTCTTCGCTTGGCAGAGTCTCTATGGCGAAAATGACGCTACAATCAAACGCGAAACTCGACGGCGAGGTCGCTCTCTCCCGCGAGAGAAATAATATTTAAGCGCAGTCGAACTCCTTGTGCCGTGACCGTCGCAATGATACTAAACGTCGCATCTTCTATTCACGCACAGAACAGCGTCACTAGAAATGATAAGCGTTCGCAGCGAATTACTTCCGATAAATCGTGATTCAAATTGAGAGAAAGGAAGAAATCAAGTAGCCTGAGATACACGTTATGTCGTAAAAATCACTAGAGCTATTTTACACTTAGAACGCCGATGCTAAGATCGTTGACAACATGTATGAAGATTTTTAACAGTATTTATAATTATGTGGTCAAAAGAGCGGAGACTATTCCCTCTACATCGAAAACATACTGAATAATGCGGACATTACAAAATGGAGAATTGAGAGAGAATGTTTTCTTTTCTCATGTAAGAAATATTGTTGCAAATTTATTTTTCGTGAATTCCAGTGTATATGCAATTCGATCACAGAATACTCAAGATGACGTTTTGAGATAATGCACGTATTAGTACACTTTTCCGAACAATACTTCGTATCTTCAAGCAAATGTGTCTTTCTTTCTTTAAGTAATCTCTATTTCAACCGATCTTGACCGATTTTCCTGCAGCGTTTGACTTAAAATTATCGAAATATATTTCATCTTTTTTTATACACATACACAGTTTCATTACGTGACCGTGCTTTCTAGAATTAATAGAAATAACGCCTATGGTCACATTTGCCATGTTGGCCACAGCCTGGTTATAGCTTTGTTCGTAAACTTCCGACAATAAGATCCGTACAACTCGAATCACTAATCGAGCTGCAGCCAAACGTTCGCTCCGTTCGTTACATAATGCATAAAATATATGTTCATCAAGCGTGTAAGATTTCGCGAATGCGACCAAAATATAACAAAATCATATAACAGAATGCAATAAAAAATATACAACAGCGTAAATCCCAAAAATGATATGTAAATCTACGCTCAGTCGTACACCTCTCCCTCCTGTTTCTTTTCATTTATCACTCCCTCTTTCTCTCTCTCTCTCTCTCTCTCTCTCTCTCTCTCTCT